TATACTTTTTTTTTCATAAAGTATTATATTATACAGGTATTCCTGACATGTATGTTCAATACTTTCTAACATATAACATATATTTTCAACATTTTTTGATAATAAACTATTATCACCATCTATTGTATATATTACAATAAACTGTGTCGCTAGAGTTCTAAATAATATTTAATTATTATTGTCTTTTAATTGTATTAAAAGAAGGACTGATAGTCATAGTGATATAACTTCAAATTTTTATAATTTAAATTAATCAAGTGCTGAAGATTCCACGCGTTTAATTTCATGGCTAACTATTGTAAAACTTCATTCATTATTCAGAAATGGCAGTACTTTATTTTTGCAATTAACTGAGAGAACAGTAATAGGAAACAAAAACATTATACATAAGACATAACATAAGAGTGTTTTATATTACTGTGATTCTCAGTTATATTACTGTGATTCTCCTTCAGTTATACGATGTATCAGTTTTTTGAATATATATTTAGGCATTCATAATTGAAACATAATGTAAACTAGATATGAAATAATATAATATACAGTATAAAATAATAATATAATATAATTAAATATAAAATGAATCGTGATGTAAAATTGAATCATACGTAAAAGAATACGATTGTGTGAATCTTATATGTAATTAAATTTAGTTTATTTATTGTTAAATTTGCAAATTTAATTACTTATCTCTTGATTTTTAGCATTGCGGTAATAAATAAATTAAGTTCGAAAACTGAAAGACAGATAAGGATTAAAATAGCATTTTTTATTTCTGTTTCAAATTGTTTAAGATATTCTTGATAAATAATAAAAACGGCAAAAATCTTTATATTTCTTTATAAACGATACTCCCCTTCTGAAACCATTCAAACACTGTTTGAAACATTTCTCATGTTATCAAAAACGAAGAAAATATTTAGATGTTCTGTCTTAAATGAAACATGTATAATGAAACTAACGCAATGTTTCGGTATATTTTAACCTAAACTATTGTTGACATAACTACAAATTAGTCTCTGTTAACTGTTAACTCAATTATCAACTTTACTTTTACGAAAATACTTACATATCAAAATGTATGTATTCACTTCCAAGGCATATAAACTATAACTATAAACTATCATAATCAGCGTTAACTATCACAGTTTGATAGATTGCCCTTAAGCAGTTACTAGAACGATATAAATAAAACAAAAAGTCACACATTATTGTAATTTCGCAGTGGACGCAGCACAAAATAAGTGATAAAGTCGGTTTTTTTTAAATTTCTCCACTTACGACCACTTTCGTATAATAATCATGGCCGCAATTATCGGCTCAGCTATGCTTTTCATTGTACGGTACTTGTCCTAAGACTTTTGAGCGGGGATGTACAAAGCGCCGATGCACGCGTAGACGCGTGCAAATGGAATGGGAGGGGCCGGAGGCAAAACTCCGGAAAATTGAAATTAATGAATAACCGGCCTCCCTCCTCCGCTCCCTGTTTGCTTCCCCCGCTGGAGCTTTCCTCCGCTTCGCAACCAGTGGAAAACCGTCGAGGAACAAAGGGGAATGCGGCTACGATGGAAACGACGATATAACGATGACACAGGTAGGAGGATGGGACTACCAGGCAGCCAGCTTCGAAGCTTGGAACCTGGTCCTCCTCTTTTTTCTTCTTCCCATTCTTCTTGTCCTTCGGAGACTTCACGACCTCTTTCGTGTATCCTGTTACAGGCGACAAATGCTTTTTTAATGAGTTCCCTCTCCCCCGTGATGGGATTTTGTTCTGTGATGAATTATGCAGGTCGCACGTGACACGATCGAGAAACAGCCCGGCAACGGTTCCTGTAAATTGTTTAGGAATCTCTTTGGCGTTTGTGCGCATCGGTCTTAATACCTTGGTGTCGCGTCTCTGTTAATTTACAGTCGACCGACCCTTGCGAGAAGGCCAGGGCACTGGCAGTATCGAGGTCTGCGCTCTACTGCCGCAATCTTGTGCAGGAGGGCACCTTTGGTCGCGTCTACAAAGGCACTTTGGAATTGGCTGGTCGCGAGCAAGAAGTTATCATAAAGACAGTCACAGGTATGTATCGACTAGTG